ATGGGTTAATTATTTATTACTTTTGGAAAAATAAAGCATTCAACAACCTTGAATCAGGAGTTAGTTGCATTTTAGTGAAAAAATGCTTATTTTTATGTTTAGGTCAACAAGCCCTCTATTTTTTTTCGTCTGGTCCTCTATTTTTCTTCCTGTGGTGCTTACATCGGCAATAACTTTATGCGGTTATTTGTACAAATATCAATGGTCGATTTTTCAATGTTGTGCATATGTAGACGTTGATGATTGTACTCACATTGGTAGCTGTCAATCAGCAATTGATTTAACAAAACTCTTTTTACAAAATACGACATATTATGAAAAAAATCAAATTCGTTTGTTGTTAAAAATTGAAGATGAGTTTAAACGTACAATAAATTCAACAATGAAAAACTTATTAACAACAACAACAGCACAGGGATGCCAAAATTCATTTTTCTCGTTGATCTATGACCTTGCTGAAATGAATTTGTGTTTAAGGCGAATTCAAGCAACAATGTTAGATATTCATAAAGAATTTATTCACTCAGTTGAAAAAGCAATGGAATTATATAATCAATTATTTGATGAGAATTCAAATGGAGAATTCCCATCCTGTATAACAAAATCACCTCTATTGCGCAATTCACTTCACTCCAACTCATCACTTGTTAATTCAACTGTATTCTCAATTGTACATCACCAAACGTCATTACCAAAATGGTATATTGTTGTACTGGTTATGTCACTTGTCATCTCTTTATTTTCAATATTTTCTACATGTATTTATTTATATAAAAAGGTTTTACCATTTTTTCAAAATTGTCGTCAAAATGATCATGAGAATCATAATCATAATTTAGGGCTCTTTTCATTATATGATAAAAATGATGAAAGTCATGTTTAAGTGTTATATATAAACATATTGTACACATTTTTTATATTTGTAGATAAAGATACTTTTTCCTTTATGAAAAATATATTCGTACAACGAGGTTAAAATTGGGCCCTAAAAAGCAGTTTCGACAAATACACACTATTTTAGCTTTTACAAACAAACGAGATAGCGTATTCAACCAAACCTGTTTTAAAATAATGGTGTACAGAAAGTTATGAGAAAAAGGATAGAAAACAAGATTACACTGATGTTTGACAAGTATTTGTTTTTTTAAATGCAGTATGTGTCAAGTCTTCTCTCTGAAAAATTTTTAAGAACAGCTGCGAAATGTTTTCAAATCGGTGATATATTGAAATAGAGCAAAATTTTGCAGTAAGTGTCAGAATTATCAAACGAAAACCAATGAAAGGCTTCCTGAAAGGAATAAAGGTAATTTATTTACATCCTTGGTATCAAAAGAAACAAGTACATTGTCTTATAGCGGAAGATTACAAGAGCACAACAAAATTATTACTTACCACTTCATTGCGCCATGTTTTACCCGG